TAATAGTATCGATACAATGCGAATCATATAATTCGAAAAAATATATATCTTTCGATTTTTTTTTTTTCTGTCATTCATCTCTTCATTTCAATTATTATAATTATATTATGCCGTTATTTAATCAATTTTTCTCTAAACTTGTTGCCCTTTTTGGTGGCCAAGTTTCTCAAGACCATTTAAGATTAATCTTTTCATTATTAGCTACTTATCTCATGGCTTTAATTTACAAAAATTTTTTGCCTGCGAATAATAAAAATCTCAAACATCTCTTTTCAATTTCCCTTGCCATTTTTATATTGTTTGGCTTGTTTGATTTATCTAAAGCATTTTGGATCATGATATTTAATTCTGCTTTGACTTATGGAATATTGTACTTTGTTAAAGGTCCTTGGGGCCCAAAACTCGTATTCTTGTGTGTTTTGGGACATTTAAGTATTAAGTAAGCCTTCACAATATTTGTAAATCATCTCCCGTGTTACAATGCAAACTGATCAATGTGTAACAATGCGGTTACTTTTATTATCTTTATTATTATCGCTTTTCATTAACAGTCATTTATTCCGTCAATGGAATCAAATATCACTTGAACGTTATGATCCTACGGGTCCACATATGGTGTTGGTCATGAAACTTACTTCGTTCGCGTTTAATATTTATGACGGACGAAGGCCAATTAAAGTTATTATTATTTTTCATTTCCATTTAGTATTATTATTATCATTGTTATTATTATATTATTATTGACTCGTACAATATGATACTTGTTTATTACAGGAACTTTCTCCATATCAAAAGAGTAAATCAATTCCCTCGTTGCCTCCAGTCCTTGAATTCTTAGGTTATGTATTCTTTTTCGGTGGGTTCTTGGTCGGTCCATCCTTCGATTTTATGGATTATAGAAGATTTGTCAATATGGAAATGTATCGAGTTGACAAAACAGATAAAATTGAAAAAACAGATAATGATAAAATTAAATCCATTAAAGATGGTGTTAAATTTACAAAGGGAATTTCATATGTCATACCTGATGGTTCGTTACCTGCTATGAAAAAATTAACCTCAGGATTCTTTTTTATTGTGTGTCTGGTCACGTTCGGAGGAAATTATCCATATGAATGGACTTTGAGTGAAGAATATAAAAATCTTTCATTTTTTAATAGGTAATCATAATTTTTCAATTGTGAATTAGAATTATTAATTTTATGACATATTAGTTGATTTTGAAATAGTCATAACTTTTAATCTACTAATTTATTTTGAATGATTTTACTACCAAAATGTTTATCTTGGTGAGAGGATTTCAACAAGTTTAAATTTGCTAAAATCCAATTACAAAAGTCTGAGATTATTGTGATTTTGTGCTATTTTTATTATTAATTTTTAGAATTACTATGAAAATATCTTTGGCATTAAATAGCTTTTAATCTACTAATCTGGTTTAAATGATTTTACTATAAAATATCTGCCTTAATGAGACGATTCTAATAAGCCCAAAAATCATTAAAATCTAATCACAGGATCTCAAGATTATCAAAGATTATTACTGTGTAGATAATCAATCAACAAAGGGGTTTATATATAAAAACCCATTTATTGGTTATTGTCTATCCAGTAATAATATTTCAAATCCTGTGATTAGATTTAATGATTAGAATCGTCCTATTGAGACAGGTATTTTGGTAGTAAATATTTTAATATTAAATTTTAAAAATTTTTGGGGCCTTTTTTGTTAGCTTTTTTTTGGGTTAGGTTAAGGTTTAGGGGTAGTTTTATTAATAAAAGAGTACAAGTGAATTTTAGTAGCTATTATAGATTTAAATAGAGACCCCAATCTCAGCTTTAGCTTCAGCCGCCACAATTATTTAAAACAGATTAGTAGATTAAAAGCTATTTAACATTTTTATTTAATTCTAAAAAATTAATAAAATAACAAATCGTAATAATCTCATGATTTTGTAATTGGATTTTAACAATTTTGGAATTCTCTTATCAAGATAAACATTTTGGTAGTAAAATCATTCAAAATAGATCAGTAGATTAAAAGTTATGGCCATTCCAAAAATCAACCTATATAAATTTTATTATTAATTTTTTAATTCTTAATACGTATGTAGATTGTGGTATATTCAATTGGCAGCTTTTTGTGCTCGATTTAGATATTACGTAATTTGGTTGATCGCTGAAGGTGCATGTATCCTTTCAG